TAATACTTGTAAGATTTAGGAAAACCAGCATCATAACTGCCACCACAAGGTCCAAGACCAAAGCCATTTCTCTGATGTCAAATGTGTCAGGGTTATATATCTGTTTTTTACCTTGAGCTCACAGAAATGCTTTGATATAAAATTTTTGCTTCTTTACTCATTTTGAAGGTGTCAGTTGAGGTCTGAAACACGAGGCTTGTCTGTACTGGCACTTTTGCAAAGGAATGAGTGCAAACTTGCCAGGTACTCTGCTTTAAGTGGGCACTTCGCGTGCCTTGGGGTGGGATGGGTTCTTCCACTTTAAGCACAGACTATGCTGCACTTCTCTGCTAAGCTCTCGCTGAACACATTGCACTTGCTCTGTGCAACTTGCACTGCACGCGGAGCGGGCAGCAGATACCTGCTGTGCTGGGGCTTCACGCGTCAGCTTATTTAGCACCAACTTCCGTGTGTCAACAGGTTTTTCAGCACTTGTCCCTGAGAGGAAGAGCGCTGCAGGTTCAGAAATCTCCTCCCAGCCTGAGGAGGAAGGAAAAAACCAGCTTGGAGCTGTATCATTTGCCACTTGCCACCATGACGTCAGCTCAGGGCTGAACTCTCTACCTGTGGCAGGGACCTTAAATAAGCTGAGGCTTAGAGCAGCATAGCACTTTTCACAGGTTTAGCAGCAAGTAGCGGCAGCRACAGCAGCAGCGATGAGAGGCTGCGTATTCCTCACCGTGTTACTTACCCTCATCTTGAGCCTTGAGACAGGTAAGAAACCCTATCTTCTGCTCTGGGATTCATCGGGGCGGCTATTCTGTGGCAATGAATGGATTACTTAGTACGTTAGCAGTCACGGAGAGACTGAAGGTCAGTGGTCAAGCACGTCTAGATGTGGTTTAATTAATAATTTTCACRGCAAGCCAGGAGTTTTCCTTGTTCTCAGAACAATGCAGCAGCACTGGTGCTTGTGATTAACGTAATTTAGCCCATACCATGAGCAGGTTGCAGGACCTGCACACAAAACTGGCAATTCAAGCTCAGTCATGAAAGGTGTAACTGTCGTTCCACTTGGGCTCCCCGGGAAAGGAGCCCTGCAGCTGGACCTTCTGGCCACAGGCTCCTGAGGCAATCAGGCGGGCAAACAACAGCAGCTGAGCTAATACACAGAGCCGTCCTTCCCCTCCTGTAGAAGCTGATTAACGGGAACTTCAMCAGCTTGGATAGAAGATTGCACCACAGTTTATTCAGATTGATGGTCAGGGATCATTTTTCAAGCCAGYTGTTGCCACTTCTGGTGCTGTGACCAGTTTGGTGGTTGTGGGACGAAGTGTTAACCCCAGATCTCCTGTCCCTGGTGTTTCATTGTCTGATACAGGGGAGCAGAGACAAGTTGGCAGAGGCAGAGTTAAGGCTCTACTATATGAAGAGCTTGGTGGCAACTTGAAACTGTGAGAGGACAGTTACTCGCAGATACCAAAKGGATAAGGGTAGAATGTGACAAAGATATGAACCAAATTAAAGCTTTCTCTGATGTTGCTAAGCTTGCAGTAAAGCAACCAGTGATAGATTGTGGTAGGTCTCTGTCAGCTACTATGAGTATACATGTGAGATGTATTTCCAGCAGCATCTACGGGCTGCTCAGAAGTGATGTTTAATTGTAAATTGTAAGCCTTRAAAATCCCTAAGATTTTCAAATGGTTGTTTTTTCATTTAAGGGCTTCTAGTCAACAAGACTAGAAATGTTTTAATCTAGCGTCTACTGAAAGCAATAAGAGTTTTTCATTGACCTGAGCAGATTTGCCTCAGGATGGTTCTGCCTAGAGATGTTTTAATTCTAAGYGTACAGTACCAAAGCCTTGCCCAGTGGTACCATTCATACTGACGTAAACCCTGCTCTGCTCAGCAGCCAGATGTCTCTATTTCTCCATACCTCAGTCTTAACTTCCTTGTTCTTTATCCTCATAATAAWCTCTTAAGGCAATTCCGCATCCTGTTTCCACGAGGGGTGGGCCTAGGCAGGTAGAGCTATTAAASAGCCACCTTTGCTCAGGTTGTGCTTGACAAACCTATCAGGAAGGTCCAATTGCTGCTCATGCTCTGCAATCACCACAAATGTAATTATTGCAGTTCCCAAAGTCCAAAGAGTAGTTGTATGCAGTGACGTATCCTGAGCTGCCGTAAGGGTTTCGTGGCTGCTTTCTCCAAGGTGCTTTAAATTAAAGCCTTCTCTGATGGAGATTGATATTGAGCCTCAATACTTTAACCCATTCTTTAGATGAGATACAGAAAAAAACACAGTGATGCACAGCATGAGCAGTTCATGTCAGTTGTCTTGGACACACACACATGCATGGCTGGCCATCTGATACCGTACTGGTTCAATAAATATAGTAAGTCAATCCTTCTTCCTCTTTGTGGGTGATTTAGGTGTTTGTTTTAGTGTGTGGTAGGAGTTCTCTCTCTTATGGAAATAACCACCTAGTCTGTACTATTTGTACTGTTACAATAAGGGTGTTTCTGGTAACAAAGGATGAAGGTGCTGATTCACAACAGATGTTTCTGGAGATCTGTTGTCCCGACTCTAAACAAACAGTTGAATATTAAGAACTAGTTCTTTAGAAGGGTATTGCCCCAACATTGTCCACTTTTAAAGGGCTGTCTAGAGCAGTGATCCCAATGAACCCATGGCCTGTAGGTATCATCGTAGATATCATCACAGTGATAGTAAAAAGGGTGACAAGGAATAAATAATGCTGCCCAAATGACTGTCCAGAGCTGCCCAGTGGAGGCAGGAACCTTGGCTGACAAAAGGATCTCCAGACAAAATTGCTGTTTCTCCTCTTCATCTGGAAGAGTCTAATGGAGTATTTTATACCTTGTGTTCTAGTAAGATTTTTTTTTTTTTTGCATATCTTTTCCACATTAAATTTATTTAGCAGAGAAAGAAAGTTCATTAAGTTTACCTCTCTCTGGGATATTTCAAGCCCTTCAAAATCTTGAAGAGTGGGATCTATTATTTCAAAGGTCTGTTGAGATTTGACTGTGTCATTTACAAAAAYATATATATATGTCAGTAATAAGAGTGTGCTAATGCCAAGGATGTTGTCCATCAGTCTTTTGGTGACATGGTATTAGTGATCTACATGAAATTCTGATTGCAGTGGCATTAAATGTTCCTTAACTTCCTTAACAGTTGCTTAGAAATTGCTATTCTTTAAGAGCTAAAAAAAAAGGAAAAGGACAATAAAACCAATATATGTTACTCTTACTGAAAAGAGGGTTTGCATACTGTTGATCATAACAGATGTAAGAGATATCATAACAGATTTCACAGCAGGACTTCGACCCTTTGAACAGAAATACTCTGCTCTCAGTGTAATCCTGCATTTGTTTTGGCATAGGGTAAGGAGTGAGCAAAAAAAGCTTTTTCCCATCCAGGCACTAAATCCACATWGATTAATAATGTTTCTCCTAAAAGCATCTTTTGAATTTCACAATATCTAGATATATCTCGCAGTTTATGTAATTACTGGAAGTGTTGTTCAGGACTGGAACAGGGTCTGCAGACTAACAACATACATAGGAAATGCAGAGGATCACATCTCTAAGATTTCATTGAAAATTTGGCCAGTAATGGAGAAAAACCATGCTAAAAGTAGTAGATCCTTAGAGGACAGGATAAGCACACAGGAGAAAAAAAAAAAAAAAAAAAAGAGAGAGAGAAAGAAAAAGATGCACTGGGTAAGACCACTTCTAGGCTCCGGGCAACGATGGAAAGTACAAGCAGACTTGCATGGTACACTTGAAGCTGCTGAAGCTGCCAGCCCCAGAAGACAAATGGGCCGTGTGAGCCTGATTTGGGGTTGCATGTATTTACTGAGATCTTAAGAACCTCACAGCCGGGATTGTGCCCAGTGTACGGGTCACTGAGCAAGACACATGTGTAGCCCAAAATAGTGCTCATAACCCTCCCCTAAGGTGCCCTTTTCCCTGTTCAGCATTTGGTTCCCCAGGACTTATCCCGCATGCAGCAATCCACAGGGCTGCCATGTCTCTTCTTTTCCTTCCAGCAGGTACCACCACAGCAACCACAACTACACCAACAACCACTTCCACATCTACAGCATCAACAACTACAGGTGAGCAGAGATATGCCCTTCAACAGTCCCATGGGAGACTGATTTGAGGTTGTTCGAGTCTATGGAGATCTCGAGCCCACTTTGACTTTCACAGCTTTCTCTCCCAGTGGAGAAGACGAGGCCCAGTCTGAGAGTCTTTCTCCTCTCAGGTCTTCCTTCTCTTTTCCCTCTGCCATTGCTGACAGGGGATATTTTTTTGGAAGGATTTCACTATCCAGATGCTTCCTGGTTGGGGTCTTGGTCTGCAGGCACAGACCC